CCTGGCCGTGCCCGACCCTGCCCAGCTGTCCTCCTGGTGCGAGGTGCCCGGTGTCACAGCTTCACTCTGATGGCCGTGGCCTGCAGTCCTGCACGGGCTCTTCGGTTGCACCGGGACGTGCATTTACCAGGCTCGGTGACAGAGCAGATGAAACAGGTGGAAAATCAGAGTTTGCAAGTGAAAAGCAAACTGCACCTCACTTGTGCTCGGTAATGAACCCTTCCCTGCCTGTTGCAGCACGTTTCAGCAGAGTTCAGTCAGCGTGTGCGTCTCGGCAGCTGAAACAACAGGCGCTTGCACTTCCTCGTGGAAGCCCGCGCGCCGTAACCCGCTCAGCTCACAATGCCCTCCATTTTGTGTTCTGTACACTCCTCTGGCTGCTTCCCCGTTCGGTGCGGGCGCTGAGTCGGTGGCTGCTGTTCGTTTGCACTCTTCCGTTGAGAGCCCTTCCCAAATTTCACTCCTCATTCCGCCTCATGCCTTCTTATGCCAAGAGTTACTGCGTCTTAGCTTAAGCTGAGTTCTTCCCTGTGCAGGCACCCTGTGGCGCTGCCGACATTCTGGGAAGTTCACAATATCCGCTCGTCACACACTAATGGGAAGGATTTCTCCCGCATGTGTTTTACTAGGTTTTCAGCTTCTGCTGTGTTCTTAGATTTCAGTAGCAACCACAGGTGGTTGTTCAGGTGGATTGGCAAAGTAGCTGCCAGGAGCAAAAATCAGGTATTTGCCCCAACCTGTCATCTTGTCAGGGTTCTCCTGCATCCCTGCAATTTGTTCTGGGTCCCTGGATCCCTACTGAAGTCTTGGAGCAGTCTGCTTCAGGCGAGCGGTGCGGTGGCTCTGGGTTGCCTGTGTAGCTGGAGGTTGCACTGCTGTCTGCCTTTGGGGGAATTTCTCCTCTGCCCCCAAACTCACACGGCGGCACCAGCCCTCGCCCTTGCCTTTGTTGCTTTGTGCGAGACATCTTTCAGCATCAGTACCTCTCCTGAGGTTTGGGTGGCTGTGGGACAGTAGGCTCAAATGCCTGTGTCCTTTGTCGCTCAAGAAAGACAGTAACCTTGACTTGTCTCCAACACTAGGCAAACTTATGGGCTAAGGAAAATTATTCTGGCCAGGCAAAAGTTACGAACAAGGTTACAAGGAGTATGTAAAATATGAACCACTATTTAGCAAGATTTCTTCCTAGGAGCTTTAGCATCCATCACCTAACATCCACAGGGTTTGTCCCAGCTCAAACTCTGCAGCCTCTTCTGAACTGAACCCTTCCCCCAGTCATAGCTTCGTAAACGTACTGACAAGGTTACTGAAATACGCAGGCCTTAGCCAGGAGACTACCTCAGGGTGGCTTCTGGGCTGCTGGCAGCCTTGCCTGGCTCACCATCCTCGGTAGCAGGTTCTCTGTGTTGCAGCATCGGCCATCTCTTCACTTTGAATCTTTTTTTGACATGGTTCACTCATTATGCATCAATTAAATACTGATTGTACACATACTGTTATGCCTGATGCTAAACCTGAGCTGTCTCAGCAATTTCTCTGCAGCTTGGTAGCCCTGGCTTTCAGCATCTGTGCCTTCATCACAGCATTTGCAGAACACTTCTTCATGCAGTGTGGACTCCATGGTTTGCAGGAGCTCTCTCTGTTAAAGGTTCAGAAGTCCCTGGCAGGGTGGCACTCTGCTTTGCTTCTTCATGCCCCAGTGGTCCACGTTTCCCTGGGAAGTGGCAGCAGAACTCCCTCGTTCAGCGCAGGGTTTGTCAAATGGACAGCCTGTGGAGAAGCTCCCTGGTGACGTTCACTTCTTTGGACGGAGTGCCCAGCCTCTTTCGTAGGCAGAGGAGTACAAGCAGACCACGTTCTCATTCGTTCTGCGTTTCAGGACACCAGAAGCTTTCCTGCCTTCGGACGGGCTTGGGACAGTCTGAGTCCTATACTGGCCGGTCACGGTGAGGCTTTCCCAAGAGCCCAGAGCTGCTGCGTGGCCTCCAGCTCCTCGGCTCAAGCCACATGTGCTGCCAGGCTGGCGACCAGTGGAGCTCAGCCTGGAGACCTTCTTTTGGTACGAGGGTCCCCTGTTCCCCTGCACGGAGCTGGGCAGGGTGCAGAGGGTCTGCTGCTTGGTCCTGCCCTGTCTCCAGCCTGGTGGTAGGGTCTTCAAGGACGTTTTGCCAGGGCAGCGTGGCTCCCCATGGGCATCACCTTCCAGCTGTGGAAGGGTGTTTTGCTCCGGCTCCAGGTGTGCTGCAGGCAGGCTGTTGCGGAGTTGCTCCGGAGCCTGGAGTAGCCCTGGCGAGTTGGGGCACTGCAGCTTCGCAGAAGCAGCCGTCAGCTCCCCGAACGTGGCTGCGGAGGAGGTCCATCTCGGAGGACTTCGCTGTGGCAGACCTAGCTGCCCTCTGTCAGAAGTCACTTGCTCTGCCTCAGAGAGGAGGAAGTTGGGCTGATTCTCGGATGTCTCTTTCCTCTCTTAAGTTCTCTTTTGTGCATCTTCTCCCATTTCTATCATCAAAAATGAGACGATCCATGGCTTGAGTGAAAGTCGCGCCCTTTCTAGGGGACTGGGCTGTGGGTCGCAGTCACTGCTCTGCCTGCACAGCCTCTTCCATGCTTCTGATGTTTCTTAACTGCTTGTTAGGAGCAAGGCTGAGATCCCGCCGGGCACGGTGTGTGCACGCGAGTGTTTTCTCACTGAGCACCTCTGGCAGATCCTCATCCCGCACGTGCTTGCACTTTCTGCTCTAAGCAGTAGGTGGGAGTGGAGGAAGTCCCAGGGCCATCGGATGCCGCTGCTCTGTGAGGCTGTGAATCGAGAAGAGGTGGCTGCTCCCTGCACCGTGTGCCGGAGCTCTCCCAGCCTGCTAGGAGTAGCTTCTTCAACGTATTTTTGAAATACTTTTCAAAGATCAGCAGAACTGCCAACGAGAGCTCAGGCTGCCACGTGCCTTGTCATAGTAAGACATCCTGTGCTGCAGACCTGAAATGCTTTTCTGCAGGTGTTGCTCCTTGGGACCTCTTGTAAGCTCATTTCCAGGTTGTTGCCCACAGAGCTTATGTGAGCAGAATGGGAGTGAGCAGGTACTTGTCTGAAAGAAGTGCGTTGCTGGGATGGTTGCACAAACTGTGTGGTTAGAGCTTGTGCTCTTCCTGAAGCCGTGAGAGTTGTTAGTCCCACATGTTCCCAGACATGGGCCGCTGCAGCCAAGGCCACGGTGGTCCACAGGCACAAGAGGTCTGTGCCACCTGTGGGGTCTGCTTGGACAAACCTCAAAACCAGCAGCAGAGATGTGTTTTACATTGGGCGTGAGCTTGGCTTATGGCACCCCGTGCTTCAGGACACGGGACAGACGAAGGCTTCAGTCACAGGGACACACATCCCCGTTGGTGTGGTAGCTGTCGTCGTCAGACAGGGAAGGGACCAAGTGGGACTTGGAGCCGGGCAGGCTCTGGGCTGCCCTGTGGCTTCATGTCCCGCGGGCTCTGCGGAGAGGAGGGCTGTCGCCAGCAGACTGTCCGAGGGGTAGCTACACCCGTCCTGTGTTCTGGAGAGAGAGCAGCTGAAGTATCCCCGGCCATGCCGCTCCGAGGAGAGAGCCAGCCGCCGCTGCAGGGCTGCGCGATTCACTGCTGCCTCCGTGCCTTTGCTCCAGACCTTGTCTGGAAGGGCGGCCCGGGGCTGACGGCCAGCAGACGGGTGCCTCTGCTCATTTGCTGCTCTTTGCTGTCGATTTCAGAATTTTAACATTTTACCGGTGGAAAAACTAAAGCAGAAAGAAGGGAAACAGCTTTCCCAGGATCCCCTGTGGGTGGGAGCAGTGCGTGGCACGGACTGTCTCCCCTGTCGCAATCCCGTGCTGCGCTGCCTTGCCCCCTGCGCACAGGGCTGTGGCCCCGGGCAGCTGCCGGTCTCTGACTGTCCTGTCTCGTTCTGCCCTAGGCCACCAACGGTGGAGGAGCCTTCAGTGACTACTCCTCCTCCGTGCCCTCCACGCCCAGCATCAGCCAGCGGGAGCTGCGGATTGAGACCATTGCTGCCTCCAACACACCCACCCCTATCCGCAAGCAGTCGAAGCGGCGCTCCAACATATTCACGGTAAGTGGCACCGGGGCTGGAGGAGCGTTGGAGTGAGTTTTCTGAGGGCTGGGGAAGGGAGCGGGTCCACAGCAGGCTCTCCCCACAGGCTTTCGTGCCCTGGTGGCTAGGAGAACGTTGCTGTGCTGGCCAGGGAGGGATGGGTGGGGGGCACAGGGCAGGTGCATGGGGGTCTCCCCGCAGGCGCGTATGTGTGCAGCAGGGTGGGGGGAGCCTCCTGCGTGCGCGGGGACCGCGGTGCTGAGAGCTGCTGCTGGTGGGTGCGGGTGTGCCTGGGGAGTGCCTGAGAGCACGCCGTCCCTTGCACACCTAGGAGTGTGCGTGGGGTGCTCCCTGCGTGTGTGTGTATAGCGTGTGTGTGCGTGGGCAGAGCTCCCGGAAACTCGCTGGGGAGAGCTGCACCTTCTGCGTGCACAGCACCAGTGGCCTCTGCTGTCCCCCTCCGTGGGGCCCTGTCCCCCGAGGGTGGCACAGAGCTGCTGGCCACTGGCCCTCCTGTTCGGTGCCAGCTCCCCTGTGCCAGGGGTGCCGTGACGAGCCCAGTGCCTGGCACTGGGCCCCGCTCGCTCCAGTACCCAAACCCCGCGTCTGTGTGACCCGAGCAGCGCGCATGGGTCTGCTGTGGGGCCTGGAGGGAGGGGAGGCATTAGGGAGCCAGCAAAGCCGTGGGCCCCAGATGGTGCAGGGTACGTTTGCAGCTGTAATCTCTGCTGGCTGAACTGCAGCCTGCCTCTCCGCACGCTCTCACACCATGCACACACCAGTCCACGCAGCGTGCACACAGTCCTGCCCACAGACTTACCCTCGCTGCTAGCGCGCCCCGGGGGTTTCCCCTTGCTGTTGGTGCACACGTGCTCCTCGCCCTCGTGTCTAGCGTAGATAGCCTCTGTTCCCCGTGTAAATGTGCTCCTCTCCCCCGGTGCCCCTGTAAATGTGCTGGGCTCAGGCCTCTCTCCTCCCCATCTAAATGTGCTTTCCAGCCACCATTGCTTAGTACACCTGTGTCTGCTGTCTGTGGAAGTGGCCACCACAAAGTCCTCGTATGTGTTGCACCGTGTTACCCTGTGTGAACAGCTGCCATTGCTCTGGACCCAGACCACATAAATTCACAGCGTCCCCTGCCCCATCCCTCTCGCTGCACCATTGGCATCCCGGATTCCCCTGGCTCCTCGTGCTGGGAGTGCACCCATCTCCCCCGGCTTCTGACATCCTGGAAGCATCTGCTCCGATGTCCGGAATGCTCCATGCGCTCCCCACCGTCTGCATCTCATACACCCCCCAGATCTCTGTATGCACGTGTTCCCAGCCCTTCCCCAGCACACGTGCTCGCCCCCGTTCCTGTGCTGCCTGGCAGGTAGGCTGTCCCCCACCACCCTCCTCCTCCTCCCAGCACGCATCGCCCTTGCAGCGGATCCACTGCTCCTGACGCATGGTTGTTTCCTTGCTAGCCCCCCCTCCTCTGTGTGCTCACGTCTCCCTGGAGATGCCCAGTAGGTCTCCTGTTGTTGATGGTCATGCTTAACTGTTGCACTTGAGTGGTGATGGATGCTTCTCCTCCCTCCCCGCCGTTTCTCTTGCTCATGCTTGCTGCTGTGCACCAGTGCACGCGGGCGCTCATGCACTGCCTCCCATCCTTCTGCTCACCTGCGCGCCGACGGGTTTTGGACTCGCCGTCAGCTCATGTTCACTCTCCCACTCCTCCTGGAGCCCCGTGCTCAGCTCACACGTGTGGGCACACGCTCATGGGGGGACGAGGAGGGCGGCTTGCTGGGGGCTTACGCTTACTCGCTGTGGACATCATCATCCGTCTAGGGCTCTCACTTGCTCACTCATCCTGGGCTTAAGCTTGCTCACTCTCGCTGTGGGGCTCACCCGTGCTCGTCCAGGCTTGTGCTCGCTCGCCGTGGTGCTGGGGCTCACGCTCACTTGCTTGCTCTTGTGCCGGTGCACATACATGGCGCACATCGAAGTCGTCACCCCATTTGGCTGTGGCAGCAGCAGCAGCAGCTCCCAACACTTCC